ACTACAGGCCGTAGGTAATGATTCAGATATAAAGATGAATTTCAGAAAGACTAAGAATGTTCGACGAATGGGCCGTTTCAAAAGGAGTCAAGGTGAATGTCACGGAAGGTTGATTAGGCAAATATATGCCCAAAGCACCTTATGTCGGTTGGAGACAGCCAGGTGGCCGAAATGAACAACAATTTTCTCGAGCATGTATTTAAACCTCTGCATGATTATGTATAAACTATAGAAAAATGGAAAACTTGTAATTGTTGGAACTCCGGTCTTTGTGACACATTCTACTGTCCTGCTTTTCACGAATTTCATGATGGAACGATCATTTCCATGCCACTTGCCAGGCGTGCCTTATTTTTTAAAGGCCAAGACGACAGCAGTTATACGAGAAGCATAGTGTGTAGTATCCTGTTTTCTTCTCACAGAGTGGTACTGATTTAAATCTCAGGAAGGAAGATAGGCGAGTGAACTAACCGGGACTAGAACCCGGAAGAATTCTCCGTTCTGAATTCAGCATTGTATCGACTAAAAACTCCGTTCCGAAGCAACGTGTGGTAAATTTCTTGCTCTTGCGGATTTGTAGTTAGGACAAGGATTGTCCTCTGGCGGAATTGAATCAGTTACCTCTGAATTCGAAGCCCATCCTTATTTAGGCACTTTGCCACCACCCCACCTTAGGTACAGTCCCAACGATAGACTTTCAACTTGTGGATACTGTCAATACTCGACCATGGGTATGCAACTTCGAATATGAGAATGACTAAATTTGTGCATGTTATGCAGCGCAACGTGATGAATCAAAACATATTATCTGTAGGGAAATGGAACGATCAAATGAGTGAAAATTGGAGTCAGTGCTGTAAACGTTTGCACAAAAAAGTTTATCTAGCAATGGGCCAGGCATATTGCAAGAAAGTTTGATCAACATTAGACCGTATGGGAAATTGATTGGTTCGAAATAAGCAGTAGACAACGAAAAGTAACGCCTGCCAAACGCACAGAAATGAGGTGAAATCTTAAAGTTTTTGAACCACCATAAATCTTGCTGTCATCGTCATCTAAGTCAGGGCAATAAAATTGCATAAGTTCATTACGTTTGACCTGTTCGAACAGCCTTGAATTTGTTTTGGACGTGAAAGGTCGCATTGAACATCGACAGCAGATTTGCCATCAGATGCTCGTATGCTGTTTATGGTCAGCGGGTCTGCAACTGACGGGCAGTTTCCATACGTTCATGGTTTCGAGGAAATTGGCATTCTACGTTTTGATCATTTTCTTAAACCAGGCGAACCGCATATGCTTGCCGTGACTCGATTTTATCACCTCACTGTCAAGAGACTTCGCAGTAAGAATTACTGAAGATGCTGAAACAGTGCTTCGTCGTGTTTCAGGGCAGTAGTCGTTTATAAGCTGTACATCAGCTACATAAATTTGACTGGTTTTACAATGACAGGATGGTGATCCTGCTTCATGCTTTTATTCTACATTTTTTACAACTTCCCGAGATCCGTTCATCTCGAATCAGTGCACTGTTCAGTTCAGGATGGCATTCGTTATCACTGGCTAAGACAATATTTCGACACTTTAAACGGTCAGCTTTCTGTAGCCGTACCATTGCCTTTCTGTATCGGTTGCAAGGAGTGCTCTCATAGACTTTGTGGCCATTGCAGTTGTTATTTTGTCATATTCTTTTGTAGCCCCTTTGCAAAACCACAGGTTGCTTAGGATATGTGATGTCCATTCATCTCAAATTGGAGGGGGGCGCAGATGTAGTTCAGCGAAGAAACCTTGACCTTCACTAGATGGAGGATTAAAACATAGTAATGATAATATTTGTTGCTTCTGTGATTACGACTGCCTTTCAAACGATGATCGTCTTGTATGTTCTTGTTTCATATTTAATCCAGTATTTCTAAATTCATTAATGCCACAACTACCGGCTGGCTCGCGTTAGGATTCGTAGCCACTATCATCACTAGCCAAGATTGTCCCAAGATACTATGAATGACCAAAATATTCTGTGGTCGTCGTATTTCAGAATCTCTTCCACCCGTCGGTCGCGGCGGGTGCGCTTATGAACTTATTCCTCTTGACTCCTTTGGATCATAGAAAAAGACTAAATTCAATAAGGAAACCTTAAAGGGGCTTAATCATCCAGTAGATTGAGATACATTAGTGATGATATTTAATATGTGTCTATGCTTAGCTTACCACATAAAATTCAGACACTTCTTGCCTAAAAATCGCACGGCTTATTTCCGCCGTTTTATTGTATGTCATTGCCCGAACAGTCGTGTTTTAGGCGATCAACTACGTAAAGAGCGGTCGTAACCGATATCAGCTGGAAATACCTGACGGCAGTTGTCAGCATCTCGGCTATGAATTTGAACTCAAAACTCAGCGAAAGGTATCGGTCATCTCGGGTGATTTTGTTTCGTTATGATTTGTATGATGATTAACCATTCTGTTGCAGGGTTACAAAAGATACTCAACTGCAAGACTGAACGAACTACTAAAACAGCTTTTGTCGGCGGAAGATCGGCGCAACGATGCTTTAAAAGATATTCAACGTCATTTGTTTTCGACCTTCAGCGCCAGGTACGGACTTAGGCTGTAGTCACGCCGATTGTGTCGTTGATTAACCAACTTGGCATGTATTATGCCAATAATTGGCATCCTTATGACCGGTATCTTACCAGACACCAGAATATAGTTATGTAACCCATGCAAGGCCTATTGTAATGAATAGACGATATAATTGAATATTGTAACTGACAGTATATTCTACCTTGCGTATAATGAACGAAAAATTTATGATTTATTATACTGATCATATACGCGCTATCAAATCAAGATGAATCCATTTGTTCCAAACAGATGTGAAAATGTTGGTCGGGATATATTGGCCCTTCCTGAAACCTCGGTTGTAGGCTTCGAAACTTGGAAAACTAGGTTGAGTGCATGTCACTTACATTCTCCTTCGGCTGCATTGCGATTTAAAATTATCACTCTGTCACTATAATAGTGGTGATGATGATGATGAGAAAGGAATTTTTCTATGCGTGGATTAAATTGAATACTCTAAGGTATTTTTAAGCACGGATTCAGATGATTCTAGATGTTGGAAAGTTGGACTGGCGCCATTCAGTTCAACAAGTACAATACCACGCGATGGGGTGATTTAACAGCGTTTATTCTTTCTTCTTAGAGTGAAATTCGTTCATGTTTGTTGGTTTCCCGCTGTCATTTGACCGTATCGTTTAGGCCTTGTGTAAAGATAACAGCTTGCACTGTTTCCTTTTCATATATCAGTGGTCTTTCTCATGACATGATTGACATATGGTAGTCTTTAAGCAAAGCGCATTTTGAGCACATAAGTTATTTAACGACCCGTTCGTTACATGTGAGGGTCTTCCAAGGCGTCGTGCGGTGAGTTGTGCGCAGCACGTGTTCATCTGATCGGTCTTTCACTCCTATGATTTTGGA